GCCGAAACCGTTGCTGTGTGGCCCGAAGCAAATAACAAATCCTGCAATTGAGCAGATGGTGTGGAATCATGCAGATCTTTGTGAAGACGCTGACTGGCAAGACCATCACCCTTGATGTGGAGGCGAGCAACACCATCCACAACGTCAAGGCCAAGATCCAGGACAAGGAGGGCATCCCCACTGACCAGCAGATCTTTTTCGGGCAGCTTGAGGACAAGCGGCTTGAGGACAAGAAGCTTGAGGACGGCCGCACGCTCTCGGACTATAGCATTCAGAAAGACTCCACGCTTTTCTTGGTGCCTCGATGTGGAGGCGCGCCACATTGACAACCTTAAGACCAAGGTCCATGCCCTCCTGTGGGCCTTATGCCATTGCTCACGAGTCTATCCCCGACCAGACCAGCGGGTGAATATTTGAACGGCTACGTGCTCTCGGACCATCACAACCTGTCTCCGCCTCTACCGGAAGGAATCACCTTCGCTTGGTTCTGCGCTTGCGCCGAGGCCGGATACTCGGAGTCTAGGCCTGAGACGGCCCGTCTTGCATCGAGGGCTTCTGCGCGAATTGACAACTTCCTGACATCAACAACGAAAGTGAGGTCATGCCTGTATCATTGATACGGGTCGTACTGTTGCGAAAGTAATTTGCGGGTATACTTTGTGAGCAATGCTTGCGAACGTACCTAGACAAAGTTGGCGCCTTGAAGCGCCTTCTTGATACGTCTACAGTCTTTCTGGAATAGTCAGGGCATGCGCAACCCTTTTATGTCTGTTCATTTTTATGTCACTATGTATTGGGTTGCAATGGCTTCCCTTGCTATGGCTCTGAATTCGTATGTTATGAATATTGTTTGCAGTACGCTTCTGGGTTGTTATCGAGTTTCGTATCGTTGAAAGCGCTTCAAAGGCTCCTTCGAGAAGGGACCGTCAGGTCCCAGTTTTATTTGTTCAAAGCGGAGCTGCAGAACGGCTCTTTGGATGTAGCGATGTGCAGGAATCCTCGCAACCCGGGCCAAGAACATGCAGCGGCATTGTGGGGCTGCTGGATCCCGGACTGACTGAAGGGATGGAAGCTCTTTTCCGGGGCTTCAGGTTCAGGTCATGGTGTAGCTTGCCAGCAGAGAAGCAAGCAAGGCACTTGATTTGAGACTGGGGGTTGATCCATATTTCGCTCGACCCCCAAATGACCATGGGTAACTTTTCCCATTTAGTGGGACATGTACTTGTTTCGGTGGTTTTCCTCAATGGTCATCCCATGTAAAGGACCTTTTGATCAACCCGCAGATGGCACTCAGACACAAAGATCCTGCACACGTGCCTCAATGAATTGTGCGTGCGTGCCTTGCTGACTCTGAGTGTCCAAGGCAGGAGAATGCTTCGATCCTTTTAGCCTCTCTTGTGTTCCTTGAGAGGTGACAGTCCCAATTTGAAGTAGCTAGCTGCGGGTATCCTTCATGCAGGATTTTGAGCGTTGCTCCCCTGAGTCCTTCCCTGAAGGACATCAATACATGGAGATGACTTTAAGTGAATGGTACCATAATTTCCATAACAAGACTGTCACCAGTGCTCATGTAGTGATGTTTCCTGTGGGTCTCCAAAGTCATTTCAACCTATTTTCAACCCATCTAGTGTGGTTTTTGAGGGAATGGTGGTGCAAAAGTACAAGGGTACTTTCGAGCTTCATTTCGGAGCTGGGCACTGGCCGGGCTGAGAGTCTCACTGGCAGGCTTTCAAGCTGCTGCTCGGAAACATCTCGCTGCGCAGAAGTGCCTTGGCACCTGTCAAAGGGGCGAATTTGGATATAGGGAGGGATGGGCCTGTGTCAAGCCCGCGTAACACAGGCCCATGGTGAAGACGGGTCAGAAGTGTCTGTCACTCACAAATGGCTGGGGCCGGAAGCCATCTTTGCAGCTCGGGGACTCGGGGACCCACCGCCATCCGCTTTTTTCGGCGCCCGACTCGCTCCCCGAGGCGCTGTGTCTTTCGGAGCAGCGCTGGATGCAACACCCTGGAGCCGCGGGGTGGAGATCTTGGAGCAGATGCATCTCGCCGATAGCTGAAACAACAATTCGGTGTGGCTACCCTCTCACTGTTTTTACATGGAACCTTGGATCATGTTCCTAAAGGGTTTGTTAATTGGTGGGAGGGCATGTACCGAGTGCTCTTCCACCAGAATTGGTTCAAACGGACTTTGAGAACTGTCGTCCGTACTGCGTGCAATCCTTTGCAACCCTTGGGCTTGAAGGGAGTTTTGCTGATGGCAGCAAGGTTGTGGTTTCTTTGGAGGGATCGAACGGTTCCGAAGGTTGCCTGGTTGGGAGAAGGAAGAATTCGGCTCTGAATTTCAACGAGGAACCAGCTCCAAAGTGGCTGGCGGACATGAAACGAAGCCTCCATGATGTCCACGGGCCTCTAAGAAGAAAGCCATGGCCATCTGGGCCCAAAACTCATCTATATAGGTTTTTCACGTCTCTTTTCAAGGCCTTGGCTTGATAGGTGACACTTGTGATGGCGCCCAGGATGCGAGAGCAAGTCCAGATGGCCTCCCGGCTGGCATGATGCGCGCGGGGCATGATTTGGACGTCCCAGTCCCCGATCTTTGAAATGGATCCGCAGAAATGGGGAGGTCACGAATTGAATTGGACATCTTGCTAGATCAGCTTCCATGTTGCAGGACAGTCTGCATCAGTTTGAGGCGACAGTCAGTGAAAGCATTTGAGGCGGCAGTCAGTGAAAGCATGAAAAGGAGATTCCTTCCGATGAAGATGGCAAAGCTTGAGAATTCAGAACGTGCATTGGGACCCAAAGTAAACAGGGTTCCTTGTACGTGCCCTTGAAACAGAAATGGCAACCAAGAGGCGATGTTTCAGTCACCCGAAAACGGATTTCGAAGGACCCCTGGTAGAGTGCATACCTTGTCCAGGCGCCATTTTCAGGGAACCCAAAATGATAGCCACCCTTCTGGGCATTTGGGGGCTGGACTGACAAGAAATCACGGTTCTGATCCGGGAGATGGTGTTGAGGCGATTAGAATAGCTGAAAGACACCAACTGGCGGAGAGATGGAGATCCCTCATCCCCCCACACTGACAGTATTTTGAAGCCAGATTCATGGGCGGATGGCCACTTCAGCCCGGCAAAAGGGAAAAGAAGAATACGCCCACAAAAGAGCAGCCAGTCTGTTCTTGCGGATGTGCTTGCATGTAACATTGCCCCCTTGGGCCTGATAGTTGAAAGGAACCCTGCGGAAAGTGCATTATTCCTTTTGGCCTGACCTTAAAGGGAGAGAGCACCTATGAGCCGTTTTTCTTGTTCTCTCCTTGCGATTATGGGTCCAAAAACTGGGGAGGTCTCGGTTCGGTTTTTTCCCCTGGCCAAGACCGCCTGGCACCTCCGGGCCTACGCTTCGGCCGCGGGTTTCGGCTCCGGCGCCTGGCGCTGCGCGGCGGAGGTGCTGCGGATGCTGCGGAGCCGCGGGCTGCGGCAGGAGCCGGCTGGCTGCGGGGGTGGATTTGTCGGAACTTTGGGATGTTGCAGGGGTTGATTTTGTTCAGGTCACTTAGGAGCTCGTTTTTGTTGGAGTTCAGGTCACTTTGCCCGTGGTTGGAAGGGAGCCGTTCCGGAGCTAGAGTGCCCAGAGTTCTGTAAGGACATGGTAACTTAGTAGGGGTTTAAATTCTAGTCATTCCATTACAAGCCATGGACGCCGTGTATCGTTGTTTCCTGTCACCACCTCCCTGTGTAGGTTATGACAGTGGTTACACGGGGACTAACCCCAGTAACACTAGCCATGGTTATCACCTACCTAAGTTGGTTGAGCATCCAAGAAGGTGAGCCCCAGTTTCCCAAGGCCGAGGCCAAAGGCCGAGGTAAAGGGGGGTTCAACAGGTTTCCAACTTTGTTTTTTCCTATCAAACATCCCTCTTACGACCAGAATCCCCCCCCCCCCCCCCTGGATTTTGTCGGTCTGCCAAGGCAGTCTTGGTTTGATGGGAGCTTTCTAAAGATGATGGTGGGGCTCAAGCATTCTCCAGCGCCAAATCAGTATCCACATCCGACCTAAATGATGACGCTATGCCTTGGCAAGCTGTCGATTTTTGAGTCCGCCATGCTTTCCCGCTATTGACTCCTCTGCAAATTAAGATGGAAGTAAACAATGGGAACCTGCAAAATGAGATTCCTCTACAAAAGGGTTGCCTTTGGGTTCTATGTCAATCTACAGGAGAGTATTTTTCCACAGGACGCCCATCCCAGGACCACTTGTGCTGCAGTGCCGTGCTGGACGCTTGCTCTCGCTCCGACTGGCGCCAAACGGTGACCTGCCTTTGGCGGATGCAGGTGAGGGGTTTGTACGAGTGTTCCATGTCTTGATGTGCACAAAAGGGGTCTATGGCCGGAAGGCGACATGCTCGCGGATGTTGTTGATGTTTGGCAGGACTGATCCAAAGGTGCCCCCTCCAAATACCCGCTTTTTCCTGGGTAGATTTCAAGGCAAGCAGCCGTAGGCAGGGGTTTGCGTCGTACGTACACAAAGTGGACACAGCATTTCGAAATGGTGCCAGGAGACCTGCGTGCAGCAGAGTTGCGCTTCTTTCACAGCAGCGATTTCATGTTGCCAAAGCTGGCCGATTGCGCGGCTTCCTCAGCCTCGAGCTGCCAGGGCCTTGTACAAGCAGTGGATTTGCCGTGCTTTGCGCCGAGGTGCCGCGCATTTGGGCACATGGCCCGCATCCACCTAGAAGCGGATGCTCTGAGCTTTGGCTCGACCGTCAGCGTGCCGGAGCTCCAGTCAGCTGCATGCCCGAATTTGCTGGGCTTTTGGCCGGCGCCTGGGGGCGAAAGAAAAGACACGTGTCGTGTCTCTGTGTTTGTCAACTTGGATGGGCCCGGGCAGCTCCACGGTTTGACAGCCTTGAGTCTTGGCCACCGGTTTGCCAAGTGATAGGGGCACCGAAGCTTTGAGGTAGCCTTGGCCAAGTTTCTCCTGCCTTGCTCTTCGCAGGCGCGCCTGGCGCAAGTGGGCACTAACTTGGGGGAGCTCGAGGAGTTGCTGGAGGCGAGCCATGCCGAAACGGCCCCCCTTCTGAGGTTGTTGGGGGGGGCGGGGGGGAGGCTCTAGGTTTTTCTTCCCTACTTTTGGACTGGGTGGGCGAGTTGGACTGGGGGGCCGCCTGCTTTTGTTGTGCGGGCCGGGGAGGGGGGGGGGTTCTGCCACTTTTGGACTGGGGGCGAGTTTGGACAAGGAACCGACATGAAACATGGGTCGAGTTCTTGTCACGCACTAAACACAGACATTGTGGGATATGAATGGATACGGCATGGTGTAGTATGGGTCTTGGTCATTGGCTTGGACACGTTTTTTCAGAGTATCATGTGTACTTTATGTCCCCTTTTTGTCCCCCTTTTTGTGTTGCGTAATCATAGCCATCCGATCGCCATGTTGAAACGAGTGGCTCTCAGGCGGGGCGATGTTTGAATGTATCAAGCATCCTGAGAGGACTCCTGGAAATTCCAGTTGTGGGTTTCACCTTGTTCCCGTTTTGACAGAGGCGCTTCGTCAGCCCTCACAGCGTGGACACTGCAAGGGAGAGGGACCTCTTGAGTCAAGTCACATGGGTGTGGGTCGAAACCTATGCCTTTTTGGGGATGGTTCTCACTCCGCTGTTCTTTTTCTAGAAGGCTTTCAGGGTGTTTTTCGGGGCACCGGGGTTTTGACCCATTGCCACATGGCAGCACTTCCCCCGTTTTTCCTCCAGGGTGCGGCTACTGCGAGCGCCGGCGGCACAGTGCGAGAGGCGGGAAGCTGAGAATCCAGCGAGTCCCCGTGGATTCAGATGCAATTTGGGTCCGTCTTTTTTTGAGGGTCCCTTTTAGGGTTGGGTTTAAAGGGAAACCAAAGGAAAATCCAGCCATTTTGGGGGGTCCCCGAAGAAAAGACACACGCATATTGGTAGCATAAACAAATGGTGGGAAGTGAAGCAAGGACCAGCTCGAGGAACCAGTCAGAACCAGTCAGTTCGAGGGGAAAGGCCTCGCAGGAAGCGGTAGGGCAGCTGATCCTTAAGAAGGGAGTTTGTCAATATGGATTTTCGACACCCTTTTGGTTATTGTTTGAAGGATATGGGAAACCCATTTTGACACAGGAGTCACAATGAACAGCCGGCACTAAAATGGTGGATCCCCATTTGAGCCACAATCAAAACCCGGGTATATGAAGGCTAGTAAGGGACAAACCCCAACCTGAAATAGTTGTGGCCGCCTTCTTGATTCTTTACATGGCTCTGGGTGGACCATTTTGATACTGGGTTTTGATTGTGACTCATTTGGGGGCTGGCTGGGTTGGGTGGGTAGACCAACTGAGGTGGTGGCCTGTATAGCCTCAGAGGGCGCGGACGCCTGGCGGCCCCGGCGGATGTTGTTGAGCGCCCGGTGTCCCGGTTGAGGGCGGTGGGGGGGGCAGGTTTCGGGGCTGATTCTGCACCCAGTGAGCTAGGGGGAGTGATGTTTTGCAGCAAGTTTCACTTGCTGATTCTGAGGGAATGTTGACCCCTAAAAACCGATTCAACTGGTGGTTTTTTAGGGAATCTCCCGTTGGCCACTGAGCAAAGCACACGCGACGCTGCCGAGAATCCAGGGATTGGTCCCAAAATAATCGGCGTTCCTTTTGGCTTTGAGCCAGCCGTAGAAAGTGTAGCCTGAAAAAGCAGGCCCAATTGAACATCACTAGGTATTTTTTGCTTGGCCTCCTTTTGGGGTGTCTTTCTCAACGGGACACGGAAGCTGCTTCGGGCATCCTGAGGATGCGGGCTTCTCCTTGCAGAGCAACAGCGGCAACCAGGGCTACTTTGCGGAGCGGGGGATGACGTGGCCGCTTTGACCCCCGGTGGTGCAATGGTTTTCTGTTTTGCCGGACGTGTTTTCCTTTAACACAAGCGCATAAGTGCACTTGTTTCCTTTGAACTCAAGTGCCAAAGCAAAGGGTGCCCTCTTTGCGCCACTGGCCGCTGGAGGTCTTGGTTTACTGGAATCATGCGGCTGTTGGACAAAGAGAAGGAACCCTTTGAAGACGGAGGTTCCTGTATTTGCATGGGTTGAGGATATAGAGAGCAATTCCCTAGGGCTATATGAGATGGATTTGTGCCCTTCCCTTTTGGGGAAGACATTGCGTGACAACCCCATGTTATCATCTTCCTGGGTCATGTGTGTTTGTGTGTGTGTGGTTGTTTGACGGCACTCTTTTCGGGGTTGGAAGGAAGACCACTATGTTCGTCGGGGACCCTATGTTTGACCCAACCCATATACGGGGACGCGGGGAATTCTTTACAGTGTTTTCCACATGAAACCAGAGGACGAGTTGTCCTCTTGGGGGAAACCTCATAAGGGTCTGTCTCAAAATCGGGGATGATATTTACAGGGAACATAAGAACACCCTTGCCATTTTCGGGGGATTAATTTTGCTGCAAACCTATATGGTTATGAGTTTTATTGGGGAACCGGCTCCAAATTGCTTGTGGACATGCATCTCCATCGAACTCTGGAATCCTGATGTCCGCGCATCTCAACATATCCATCCTACAATGGCAAGGGCTTCCTTTCTGGCTTCCCCTCAAGAAACAAGCAGAACAAGGAGCATTGGTTTGAGAAACGGAGGAGTCGAACTTCGAACCGAGCGGCAACTAAAACTCACATTGTTTTTTTCCCTTTTTGGTTTGAGTACCAAACCAGTTTTTGAACACTCGCTGGCGAAGCTTCGCAGGAGCGGGGCACGGAGCTGATGCCCTGGAGCGAGGTGTCGCGTTTGGGGCCACGGCTGCGGCAGAAAAACAGGTCGCGGGGTGGGGTGGAAGCAACGGACCAGTGTGTGTTTATTGGGGGGCCCACCAAAATGGCTGGATTTTCCTCCTTGCTTCCCTTTGAAATGACCAAGAAAGGGGTACAAGCTCCAAAAAGACGGACCCGTGGGCACTTGGTGCTTTTTGGTGGTATCTCAACAGCCAGGTCTTGGCCGTTCAAAGCTGGTGCTGTCATGTAGCTTCTGCTTTTGTTCAAGCGTAGGGTTTGAATGGGGGCAACCCCCCTTTGGATTGTTTTAAAGGGCAGCTATCAGGAAACGGCCAGCACGGGGTGCCCCTTTCTTTCAGACACATTCTTGCAGAGCTGTTAAGAAAACCAAAGGGAAGGGACAAATCCATTGACGGGTGGTTTGTTGGTTGGAGCCCTTGTTGGTTGGTTGGAGCCCTTGTTGGTTGGTTGGAGCCCTTGTTGGTTGGAGGCCTCGGTATCTCGCGTTGCAGGTGGACCTCTGAACCTGTTTGAGAGCTTCCCAGTTTCATGTGCGCCCATTTCCATGTCCCGATCTTTTGACCCTTTGCTTGCCCAGGTTTGGTGCATAGCTGGGGTCACTAGCTGCTTCTTGGTATCAAAGTCAGACACTGGGGCTGTTCCCTTTAAGCTACCACTCCGGGGCCAGTTTGAGTGAAGGTGCACGGATCAATCGTGCTCTTTTTTTGGCTGGGTCCCAAGAAAGGAACCCTCCACGAGAGTCTCAGGCGTTTTGCTTTGTGACCCCTCCACCAGCTCCGCGTCCAAGACCACGCCCGCGCCTGAGACTCTGAGAGCCGAGCGCATGAGCCATTTGGTCGGAGCTCGGTCAGCACTCTTCAGATTTACCCTCCCACCGAGCAGCATGGAAGTGCACCTGTAGAAAGACGACTTTCCTCTTGGAAAGCTGGAAAAGGGCTGCGTGCACCTCCATGTCGTGAGATCTGAAACATGACTGTTTTTTCCAGCTGAGAACACCTTTGAGTGTTGCAGCGCAAGAGACGCGCAGGTCTGCATTCTACTCTGTTGGGCATATTGAAATATTGAGCATCATTGAGCTTTCTGCAAAGTGAACTGGGCACTGGCCATAGAGATCTTGCGAGCCACGAATTCACTTTGACAATTCAGGAATGGCCGGCCCAGCTACAACCTCTATGAGGCCAGCGAGAGTCCAGCTGTGAGAGGCGTACGTTGAGAGGGCTGGCTTCACAGGAAGGAAAGGCTCTGGGTTTCTTTCTCGGTTTTCATTGCGTGAACTGCTCACAAAGGGTGGCACTGCCATATCGAGATGGCTCCAACTTTTGGCCTCCAAAAGTTGGCCGCTTCAACTCCTAGGCCGAGTTGGAGCTTGCCCGCCCGCCCGGGCGGCTGAGGCTGCAGCCGGGCCCAAAGATTCGATTCGAGGCTCCGGTGAAAGCCGATGGTGGAGGAAGAACCAGCAACTAGAAGCAGAGCATTTAAAATCCACATGAAGCTCAGCCTGTTGTCCCGAGTGGTGGACATGAGAGAAAGGTTGAAGGAGCTCTTTTGGCTGGGGTTTCTTGTTGCCGCCGTTGCTTAGGTTTGGAGCTGCTGGGTGGGGGCCTTGTGAGAGGGCGGTGCGTTGTTTCCCATTGCCGCAGTTTTTCTCCATGCGTTCCGAGGCCAGCGCAGGTGCTGCAGCAGCTGTGGCAGGCCTCCCAAGGTCCGCGAGCTGCGAGTGGCTTGCCGCGGATATCTATTGGGTTTCGAGTGGAAAGGCAACAAAGATGGCAGAAGAGTCAGCAAAAACTGAGACAGTGACGTAGACACATGGCTGGTCAAAACCAATGGTACCATTTTGGGATAGGTGCACCACCCATTTTAGAACCTATTTTAGTGGTTGGATGGGGATGTTCACTTGGGGGCTAACCGGGCTTTTGACCCATGGCCACATGGTCCCATCCAGGTGGAGGCCGCCCTGTGCCCCTCCCTGGGTCGGAGCCCCTGCTCGAGGAGATGCGGGCCAAGTCAGGCGATCGACCGGAAGGGGGACAAGTCTCAGGGCCGAAGTGACTCGCTCAAGCAAAAGAGACACCCATATCTTTGCTGTTGGAGGGCTCCAAAATTCAAGAACAGAACATTGTTGCGTCTTGCGGCAATTCAACTTCCTACGATTTCAGGGCCATTAAATTGCTTGGTGCACCGAGTAATTAGCACTACATGGATGATGAACCATACACAGATGTATGCACATTACATGTCATGCTGCCTCTAGACAAACTTTAATCGGGAGCGAGCACCGCAATAACTGCGCCGCGCGAGCAACAACTCATTGCTCATATCTTAAATACCAAGCGCGGGCCCATGCGTTTCGTTTTGGGAGCTGGATTTGCATATTGGGCGAGCCTCGTTCGGCTTATGATTGCTCCATGAGATTCGGCCGGGTTTTTCCGAGCCAGGCTCGCCACCCTGCCCGACACGCTCCGTGTTTTCCGCCAACCTCCCGGCGGGCTTCACAGTCGCCAAGGCTTGGACCACAGCGAAGAGGAGTGCGCAGGTGGATTCTTTTCTCTGATGGAAGCCCTCACCCCCAAAAATAAGCTCAGGTGATATCCCCAACAGCATGCGGTGCTCTTTTTAGTGCTCTCACCACCCCGCAGTCCTCGCAGAACCTCGTGGAACGCTGGTGGAACCCTGGACCACCCCGGAGCCTATCTAGGCTGAGACCCCAAAGCTTTCAGCTGTTGGGGAAAAACCTTGGTGTTTCCTTTGGCCTTGATCTTACCCCAGCCTCCCAAAGTTATGGAGTCTTTATAAAGGTGGGAGGGAGGACCAAGGGGAAAGATTGCTGCTTGAAAGGGTACGCCCAACGGACAGAGCCATAGAGCCATCAGTCATGCGACCGGCAGGTGCGGCAGCTGTTGGCTGGCAACGGGCCCAACAATCCCATCTTGAGGCGCGGTTCGGGTTGGGTATGAGTCAAAATAAACCCAGGGGACCGCAGGTTTTAGTCTTTGGTTCCATTTATCAGGGTTCCATTTTGGGTACGCATTTTTGACCAGACATTTTTCTCAGAGGGAATGAAAAGGATTGTGAAAGTCGGTGGTTCAACCCCCATGTTCTACCTCAGCAAAATGGTGATTCCTCGGAGAAAAGGAGCCGCCTAGTCGAATTGGGTTTTGTTTTTCCCAAAAGCATCTCTGATGCTTGGGTTCTGCTTTAGGTTTTCTCTTAAGGTGCCTGGGAGCGATACAAGCTGTGACGACGGAGATAAGAAGGGATTTCCATTTCGTTGTGCTGCAGACCGGTCGTGCGATGCCGGCTGGGGGTGCAGACCGGGCGTACGAGGCTGGCTGGACGGCGGTGTGGGGCTGGCTGGGGGGACGGCGGTGTGGTGCAGACTGGGTGCGCGAGGCTGGCTGCGAGCGAGACTGGCTGGCTGGGGGCACGCGCACTGGGCGTGGCTGGAAACCGCCCGCGAGCGAGACTGGCTGGCTGCGGGGACGGCGGTGTGGTGCAGACTGGGCGCGCGAGGCTGGCTGGAAACCGCCCGCGAGCGAGACTGGCGCGGTGGACGCTCGTGACATGCGGAAACCGCCCGCGAGCGAGACTGGCGCGATGGACGCCCGTGACATGCGGAAACCGCCCGCGAGCGAGACTGGCGCGGTGGACGCTCGTGACATGCGGAAACCGCCCGCGAGCGAGACTGGCGCGGTGGACGCTCGTGACATGCGGAAACCGCCCGCGAGCGAGACTGGCGCGGTGGACGCTCGTGACATGCGGAAACCGCCCGCGAGCGAGACTGGCGCGGTGGACGCTCGTGACATGCGGAAACCGCCCGCGAGCGAGACTGGCGCGGTGGACGCTCGTGACATGCGGAAACCGCCCGCGAGCGAGACTGGCGCGGTGGACGCTCGTGACATGCGGAAACCGCCCGCGAGCGAGACTGGCGCGGTGGACGCTCGTGACATGCGGAAACCGCCCGCGAGCGAGACTGGCGCGGTGGACGCTCGTGACATGCGGAAACCGCCCGCGAGCAAGACTGGCGCGGTGGACGCTCGTGACATGCGGAAACCGCCCGCGAGCGAGACTGGCGCGGTGGACGCTCGTGACATGCGGAAACCGCCCGCGAGCGAGACTGGCGCGGTGGACGCTCGTGACATGCGGAAACCGCCCGCGAGCGAGACTGGCGTGGTGGACGCTCGTGACATGGGGAAACCGCCCGCAAGGGAGACTGAGTGACACGCGGATACCGCCCGCGAGCGAGACTGGCGCGGTGGACATGCGGAAACTGCCCGCGAGCGAGACTGGCGCGGTGGACGCTCGTGACATGCGGAAACCGCCCGCGAGCGAGACTGGCGCGGTGGACGCTCGTGACATGCGGAAACCGCCCGCGAGCGAGACTGGCGCGGTGGACGCTCGTGACATGCGGAAACCGCCCGAGACTGGCACGGTGGACGCTCGTGACATGCGGAAACCGCCCGCGAGCGAGACTGGCGCGGTGGACGCTCGTGACATGCGGAAACCGCCCGCGAGCGAGACTGGCGCGGTGGACGCTCGTGACATGCGGAAACCGCCCGCGAGCGAGACTGGCGCGGTGGACGCTCGTGACATGCGGAAACCGCCCGCGAGCGAGACTGGCGCGGTGGACGCTCGTGACATGCGGAAACCGCCCGCGAGCGAGACTGGCGCGGTGGACGCTCGTGACATGCGGAAACCGCCCGCGAGCGAGACTGGCGCGGTGGACGCTCGTGACATGCGGAAACGGCCCGCAAGCGAGACTGGCGCGGCGGACGCTCGTGACATTCGCAAACCGCCCGAGAGCGAGACTGGCGGACGCTCGTGACATCGAGCGAGACTGGCGCGGTGGACGCTCGTGACATGCGGAAACCGCCCGCGTGGTGGACGCTCGTGACATGCGGAAACCGCCCGCGAGCGAGACTGGCGCGGTAGACGCTCGTGACATGCGGAAACCGCCCGGGAGCGAGACTGGCGCGGTGGCCGCTCGTGACATGCGACCGCCCGCGAGCGAGACTGGCGCGGTGGACGCTCGTGACATGCGGAAACCGCCCGTGAGCAAGACTGGCGCTCGTGACATGCGGAAACCGCCCGCGAGCGAGACTGGCGCGGTGGACGCTTGTGACATGCGGAAACCGCCCGCGGGCGAGACTGGCGCGGTGGACGCTCGTGACATGCGGAAACCGCCCGCGAGCGAGACTGGCGCGGTGGACGCTTGTGACATGCGGAAACCGCCCGCAAGCAAGACTGTCGTGGTGGACGCTCGTGACATGCGGAAGCCGCCCGCGAGCGAGACTGGCGCGGTAGACGCTCGTGACAGGCGGAACCCGCCAGTGGGCGAGACTGGCACGGTGGACGCTCGTGACATGCGGAAATCGCCCGTGAGCGAGACTGGCGCGGTGGACGCTCGTGACATGCGGAAACCGCCCGCGAGCGAGACTGGCGCGGTGGACGCTTGTGACATGCGGAAACTGTTCGCGAGCGAGACTGGCGCGGTGGACGCTCGTGACACGCGGAAACCGCCCGCGAGCGAGACTGGCGCGGTGGAGGCTCGTGACATGCGGAAACCGCCCGCAAGCGAGACTGGCGCGGTGGACGCTCGTGACATGCGGAAACCGCCCGCGAGCGAGACTGGCGCGGTGGACGCTCGTGACATGCGGAAACCGCCCGCGAGCGAGACTGGCGCGGTGGACGCTCGTGACATGCGGAAACCGCCCGCGAGCGAGACTGGCGAGGTGGACGCTTGTGACATGCGGAAACCGCCCGCGAGCGAGACTGGCACGGTGGACGCTCGTGGCATGCGGAAGCCGCCCGCGAGCGAGACTGGCGCGGTGGACGCTAGTGACATGCGGAAACCGCCTGCGAACGAGACTGGCGCGGTGGACGCTCGTGACATGCGGAAACCGCCCGCGAGCGAGACTGGCGCGGTGGACGCTCGTGATATGCCGGCGAGCAAGACTGGCGCGGTGGACGCTCATGACATGCGGCAACCGCCACGTGCGCGGCTCCATGTGAACATTCCGGCGTTCCAGGTGCGCCAAAATTGTCATTTTTGCCGCACACCTGACCCGAACAAACGGTGCCAATGTGTTTCTAGGACGAACCCTCTCTTCAGAAGCTGTAGCCTCTTGGGGTTGGCCCTACTTATTTGGAAGCAGCCTGGAAGCACGTTGACATGAATATGCTGAGCACACTCGGCCCAAACAAAAGGGCGCATGAACATCCGAACAGCTGACCCCGGTCTACTCAGATCGTGTTGTAACACTGTGTCTCAGACTTGTTTCAGATGGGTGTAGAGCGAGCTTATGCCTTGCTTCCAATTTGGGAGTGGTAGTTTGTGCGGATCCATTTTCGGATTTCTGCGATTGGTTCTTTATGATGAATCGGATGACTTCGTGCCTTCCATGTAGTGCGGGGCCTGTCATGTTTCACCCGTGCCTTTGCCTTTTTCTCTGTGCTTGGTCAGAGCACAGGCTGCTGGCTGCCAATCCGGCTTGAGTCGCGGTTGCTCCCCTTCTTCATCTGTTTTGGGGTTGATTTCTTAACTGTGAACAACTTAAATCTTGGTTTGCCTTCGGACCCTTGACCCGAAAACAACGGGATCCACATGCCATGGGGAGTGAGGCTGGTTTGCTTTTGGGTTCCCGGGCTCCTCTTGTTTAAAGGTACCCCTTTAGGGCAGGTTGAAAGGGAAGCCAAAAAGAAAGCCACCGTTCAGATACCAAATTTGTCAGATTTTGCTTCCCGTAGCCCCACAAAGAGGCAACTGTTCAAGACGCGGGACACGCAATTCGTGTGACTGAGATGCGGCGCGAGCTGGCAACGTGGAACCATGTATCGGCAGGCTACATGCCCGAGCAGGTGTTCAGAATATGGTGCGCCTGGCCAACTGCTTGCTGAGTCGTTGCATGCGTGCCGATGAAGCCTAGCTGCTTGGGGCTATGGCTACTTCGGTTGTCGCCACTTTATTGGAATGCTTGTTTCTGGTTGTTTCATAGAGTCATGACCCTTGCAGGCAGGCTTCGACAACATTTCGGGATGGCTTGAACATGTTCCAGGATCAGCATACCTTGGCACATCCGTGCCAGGAGGAGAGGGACTGGGAGCCGCTGGGCAGAGGGCAGATGAAGTGCCTTCACTTTGTGCTGCCGCTGAAGCCACACGCCTAGTTTTTGTATTCTTGCTGGTTCGATACGCAGGGTGAGAAAGGGAACGACCCAGAAAATCCATCCTTTATGGTTTCCTTTATTTGGGTATGGTTCAAAACCAATGGTACCATGTTGGGATAGGTGCACCACCCATTTTAGTCTATTTTACTGGGGATTGGGATGTTCACTGGGGGGGGTTTTGACCCATGGCCATTCGGGATTCCCTCAAAACCGGTGGTCATTCCCCACCTGTCGCGCCGAGTTTCCGAGTTTCAGGCCTCAGCCTATGGCGCCGGAGAAGACACGTGTGTCAGGGGCTGAGTCCACTTGGGAGCTTGGGGGAGAGTTTGGAGAGTTTGGGGGGTTGTGGTTGCCTGGTTCGTTTAATCTTTGCTTGCTTGCTTGGCTGGCTGGCTGCTTGATGGCTGCTTGCTTGGTTGGTTTGGGTAGGGGTGCAAGGGGTATGCACGGTTATCCAGTGTCCAAACTTCCCAGTTCAAAGTCACGACTTTGAAGTGCAACAGACCATTGGCTGAAAGCTGAGCACCCCAACTTGAGCAGGCATTGATATGAGTTGTCTGCTTGTTGCTTCACTTGATGTTGCCTTCTCCCACTTGCTTTTTCAATTACCAAGGTCCAAACCTGCACCTGGGGCTTTGCGATAAACCGAGACCTCGCGCCTGCGTCAGGACGGTGGTCTATTTCCTCTGCCCGGAGCAAGACCGGGCTTTGGCCTAAGTGCACCTCACAGCATTTGGCTAAGGGGACGTGCCATTCTGTGGATAAATCATGGCACCACCTGAGACCCATGTAGCTACCAACAATGGTTTGCCAGGGTTTTTGATGTGGGGGAAGCATGGACGGGATATCTCCATCCAACCACTCCAGCAATGCGGTTTTTCTACGAGGGGACATCACAAGCAGAGTATTTTATCATCTAAACGAAGACCCTTTAGAGATTTTGCGGCATATTGCAGCGTTTTACAATATTCTTTGTTGGTCGAGTAGGCTCATGCTTATGTATATTCGCCTCAGGGTCTTCGGCTGCCCAAGTTTGGTTTGCTGGCACAGAAGCGATGGCAAACTTCATGCTGCTGCTTGAATTGCTACGACTGCCAAAAGGGTATTGACTCATTCTTATGATTGCCGAGGCTGTTGCTTTCTTCTCATCAGAACGCCACTGAAAGTCGAGCTTTGTAGAAGTCAAAAGTTGATATCCAGGCGTTTTCCCTGAGCCGGCTCGCCGCACTTGGGGTCTATCTTGCTTTGTGGGCAGCCTTTTTGGGTTTGGAAGGGCAACCCATGGGGCATGCCATTTCTGGGGCCCCAATTTTTTTTCAGAAGACGCGGCGAAGTCAAGATATCTTTTGGAGGTTGATGGCTGAGGTCGTCCTGCAGAAGGTGACCCGAGCCTTGGCTCGGGCCCAAGTCGTGTCAGCCTTCCACTCATTGGTGGTTTGGTGGTTCGGACGTTCGGGCCTACCTTCCCCATTTGGTTTCAAAGGGAAGCGGGGGTCGAATCCCAAACGACCAATCCAAATATAGTATCGCCATTTAAGGGGTACTGGTAGTTGAATAGTCAAAAAGGACTGCTGTACAGACGGATTTCAGTTTCCTTTCTGATGTGCCTTCATGACCTGCAAAGTGGCACCCTCGTGGGTGAATGTGGTCCTGTACATCAACGACTGAAGCAATCTGTCTGTCTCTTGTAACTTTTTCTCTCGATGCCGAGGCTTTGGGCTGTGACGAAGTTGAGCGGCTGTTAGGAAGCTCCCGCCTGTTAGGAAGCCTATTCTTAGAAGCTATCCCTTTTGACATGGACGTCATATATCTATTTGGCTGGTAACACAGATGTCATCCACATACGGCAGGATGTTGAGAATCCATGTTGAGAATCCCTTGATCTCCTGATCTCTTGTAGCTGCCACTACCCTGTCACTGAGGACATCCCCTACGCGAACTCCTTCCGGGTCTACCATGAGCACACCTTCACCGAGGAGCGCTCCGGTCCGATTCAGGGAAGACGCGGGTGCATCCAAAAGCAGGGGCCTCCCAATCATTGGTATTTCTTGGTTTCCCTGAGCCGTGAGGTTGGGCCCCCCCCAAATTTTGGGAGTCCCCTTTGCAATTTTGTTGGATTCAGCTGTTGCAACAATCTTGGTGCCCAGGTCCCCAGCAGTATGGATGCAACAGGTCCAGCCCCCTCTTTTTCTTTTCTTCCTCCGGTCCCCATCTCGCGCAAGGTGCGGGATTTTGAGCTTAGGCCCGTTAGGCCCTCGCTTTTTTCGCGAGGACGCGGAGGACAAGCAGGCGAGGTCGTGGCGCCAAGCCATTTGGATGGGAAGTTGTTCTAAACGAGTTCTCCAAATGAGAACGCAACATGGTTCTTTCCAACCTGGTGGGCTTCCTGTTGGGTTCAACGCTCAAAGCCCAGCAAAAGGGGGTTCCCCCACAAAGACCCAACTGCCACGCTACATTCTTCTTTAAATAGGAGCCTCAAACATAGGCGACTTCCTGTGGTTTCGCTTGAATCAACCTGAGACGGGTACCCTCAAGAAAGAACGCACATCCATATCCCTGCATTCTCCCAAGCGACCTGCAGGTTGTCCTGGACTTGGCGTTGGGCATCGGTTGGATCGACAGGTGGGGTGCGCTCCGAATTGTTGACCAGGGGCTTTGTACGCGACCTTTTGATCGAGACCAGACCACAATCTTCCGGCGTTGCGCGGCTTATTTCTCAGCAGCATGTTTCAGTGAATTGCAGTTTTCCTGAGACAGCCTGGTTGGCATCTTGCCATTTTGCATTCATGATATGAAGCTGGACTTAAAGAGATGCTCGGTGTCTTGCTGGCTTTCCTTTGCACAGCATCGAACAGGGGCTCCCAAACGGCTGACCACCTCCCCGAATGTGCTTGTGCCAAGTGCCTAGCCCCTCGCAGGTGTTTTGTGAAGCAGATCATTGAGAGTAGCACCCGGCGGGAGACTGTGGAGAGTGGGCAGGCTGGGTGAACCAAAGGAATCGACCAGGTGATATTTGGCTGCGTTTTTTTTCTTCCTTTGTTGCTTCGGCTGCCATGTTTGTTTGTTCTGCGAACTCCTTTTTTTCCCACCACCCAAACTGGGACAAACCAACCTCGTGGGCCTTCCGCCCATGAGGGTCTATTGGGAAAGACTTTGGGCGCAGTTTGATTTGGGTCAAAGCAGAACAGGAGCCTCCAAGCGATGTGCTTTCCAGCTGTGATTTGTGCGACCGGCCAGGACCTGGTGGAAGCCCTCACTGAGAGCTTGGTCGCATGCTGAATGCCAAACGCCACTGTGGCGGCTTACGGCGACTTGCGCCGCGGCCGAAAGCGCTCGGCGTTTGAAGACCGACAAAGCTCGCCTGGAATCGATGGGTTTAGCTTCGACGTGTCAAAAGTAGGCTAAGATGCTTTTAAGGGTGGGGTTGAAAGGGAACTAGCATGGAACCAATCATTGAAGTCCCCATGGCCCATGGCCCTATGCTGACACATGCTCATTTCATCACACCCTCATGGGAAGATGCAGCATGCACGACAGCAAACGGAATGGGACGGGAGTCGCTGGGCTTGTGGAGATTTCACACCCTTCAGAGTGAGTCACCATTCGACACACCCCACTTGCTGCACTTTTGCACAGAATGTACCGTGATGGCATGCATGTTGTTTGCTGCATCTCTCATCTCGAATCTGCGACTTTTGGATTGCTTCGTCATTGGTGTCTCATCTTAGACTCAACTCTGGGGACGTGCTCTCCCCTCTTGCTTTTGTTTTCCTTTTCAGCTTTGGCCGGCCCTACCCTGTGGTAGGTGTTTTTCTGCGGCTCGGCATCCTTTTCATCTTGGCTTAAAGGCAAATGAAAAGGAGCGCCACAATTTTTGTTGCTGGTCCTATGTTTTGACACATACCCATATGGCTGTGCATATCTTGTTGGGTACCTTTTGGTGTGATTCAAAAGGACACCGAAAGGCCACCGCTTTCCCCATATTGCGGGGCCAACTGGGTGTGTCTTTTTTACAGAGGACAACCCCCCGCCCAATTGTGGGTTCTCTTTTTGGTTGTACCTTAACACCGAGCAACCAAAAGGAAAACCTGCAATTTGGGGTGTGCGTGCTCTGTAAAAAGACACACCCAGTTGGTTACCCCCAAGAAAAGAACAATTCAAGATATGTCCTCTGTAAAAAGACACACCCAGTTGATTCCCAAATCCCTTCTTTTGACAGCCACCTGGTTCCCTGCCAGGAAGTCCTTTGAGGAGGCCCTGGGGATCTGCAAGGACGCGCGGTCTCAGGCGCATCCGACGGACGAGGGCGTGTCAAACGTCTTTGTTTCCATTTCCAACTACTTTTGACAACCACACCCATGTGCGTGCCCTGGAGGGCTTGAAGCCAAGCTTTGGTCGTAAGAATATAATCTCCTTACTTCAGAGAACCCAGGCAAGAGGCCTGCATGGTTGTGTTAAACTGGTTGCTTTCAATCTGTCCAGGGCTCGTTTTGCTGGTCTCAAAGACTCCGCTATAGGGAATTCCTGAATTTTGTCAGTCTGCGGATCTTAGGAGGCCTGTCTTGCTTGGGGCAGGCGAAAAACTAAAACTTGTTCACAGACTTCTTGCACACTGCTGAGTCAGGCGCACTTGCCGTCGCATACATTATGCTGCAATAATTGTCAGCTTGAACGGCATTCCAGTGAGTTTGCAGCCTTTTCTGTGATCTCGCAGTTTCATGGCATATGGACCTGTCCAGACGACTGGGTGCAGAACTTGATCCGCATGTCGGCCCACGTTCGGGGGAAAAACAAAAAAACACATAGTGGAGACGCAACGAGGTTCCCTGGCAGATCAGCTGGTGACAAAATCCGAGCCTCGCAGCTGAACCGTTCCTCTTGCAAATGTCCCCAGCAGGACACTTGTGTTGCAAAAACGGACTTCAACATGAGCAATGCGCCGAACCGGCCAAAACCCAACTCCTCCAAGCACACGTGCCTTGGTTGCAAACCGCAAAGCGAATCCGGGTGGCAAGGATTCCACGGGTTTCTCAAAATGGGACTCGGACCCCTGTTTAAACGGCTTTCATGGGAAACCAAAAGGAACCCTACCTGGAGGAAATGGTCCCTCATATTGAGAAACACTCATATTTGAACCAACCAACAAGCCAACCAACCAATCAACCAACCAACCAAGCAAGCACGCAAGCAAGCAACCAAGCAACCAAGCAACCAAGCAACCAAGCAACCAAGCAAGCAACCAACCAAGCCACCAACCAAGCAAGCAAGCAACCAACCAACCAACCATGCAACGAACCAAGCAACCAAGCAACCAAGCAACCAAGCAACCAAGCAACCAAGCAACCAAGCAACCAAGCAACCAAGCAACCAAGCAAGCAAGCAAGCAACCAACCAAGCAACCAAGCAACCAAGCAACCAAGCAACCAAGCAACCAAGCAACCAAGCAACCAAGCAACCAAGCAACCAAGCAACCAAGCAACCAAGCAACCAAGCAACCAAGCAACCAAGCAACCAAGCAACCAAGCACCAACAACAACCAACTAAGAAGCCAACCAAGAAGCCAACCAAGAAGCAAACCAACCAACCAAAAAGCCAACCAAGAAGCCAGCCAACCAACCAACCAAGCAAGCAAGCAAGCCAGCAAGCAAGCAAGCAAGCAAGCGAGCAAGCAAGCAACCAAACAACCAACCAACCAACCAACCAACCCACCAACCAACCAACCAACCAACCAACCAACCAAGCAACCAACCAACCAACCAACCAACCAACCAACCAACCAACCCACCCACCAACCCACCAAGAAGCCAACCAACCCACCCACCCACCCACCCACCCACCCACCCACCCACCAACCAACCAACCAACCAACCAACCAACCAACCAACCAACCAACCAAGAAGCCAACCAACCAACCAACCAGCCAGCCAGCCAGCCAACCAACCAACCAACCAAGAATCCAACCAACCAACCAACCAGCCAGCCAGCCAGCCAACCAACCAACCAACCAACCAAGCAACCAACCAACCAACCAACCAGCCAGCCAGCCAACCAACCAACCAACCAACCAAGCAAGCAAGCAACCAACCAACCAACCAACCAACCAAGAAGCCAACCAACCAACCAACCAAGCAACCAACCAACCAACCAAGAAGCGACCAACCAGACAGCCAGCCAACCAACCCAACCAAGAAGCCAACCAACCAACTAACCAAGCAAGCAAGGGACCAAGCGACCAAGCAACCAAGCAACCAAGCAACCAAGCAACCAAACAACCAAACAACCCAGCAACCAGCCAACCAAGCAAGCGCACGAGCAAGCAAGCAAAGCAAACAACCAGCCAAGCAACCAAGCAACCAAGCAACCGTGCAACCAAGCAACCAAGCAACCAAGCGCGCGAGCAAGCAAGCGAGCAACAAACCAACCAAGCAACCAAGCAACCAAGCAACCAAGCAACCAAGCAACCAAGCAACCAAGCAACCAAGCAACCAAGCAAGTAACCAACCAACCAACCAAGCAACCAAGCAGCCAAGCAACCAAGCAACCAAGCAAGCAAGCAAGCGAGCAAGCAAGCAAGCAACCAAGCAACCAAGCAACCAAGGAACCAAGCAACAAAACAACCAAGCAACCAAGCAACCAAGCGACCGAGCAGCCGAGCAGCCAAGCAACCAAGCAACCAACCGACCAAGCAAGCAAGCAAGCAAGCAAGCGAGCAACCGAGCAACCAAGCAACCAAGCAAACAAGCGTCCGAGCAACCAAGCAACCACGCAACCAAGCGCGCGACAAACCAACCAAGCAACCAAGCAACCGAGCAAGTAACCAACCAACCAACCAACCAAGCAACCAAGCAACCAAGCAACCAAGCACGCGAGCAAGCGAGCGAGCAACAAACCAAGCAACCAAGCAACCGAGCACCCAAGCAACCAAGCAACCAAGCAACCGAGCAATCAACGAACCAACCAACCAAGCAAGCAAGCAATCAGCCAACCAAGCAACCAACCAACCAAGCAAGCAAGCAAGCAAGCAACCAAGCAACCAAGCAGCCAAGCAACCAGGCAACCAAGCAACCGAGCACCCAAGCAACCACGCAACCAAGCAAGCAAGCAATCAACCAACCAACCAAGCAAGCAAGCAAGCAAGCAAGCAAGCAAGCAATCAGCTAACCGAGCAACCAAGCAACCAAGCAACCGAGCACCCAAGCAACCAAGCAACCAAGCAAGCAATCAACCAACCAACCAAGCCAGCAAGCAAGCAAGCAATCAGCAACCGAGCAACCAAGCAACCAAGCAACCGAGCACCCAAGCAACCAAGCAACCAAGCAAGCAATCAACCAACCAAGCAAGCAAGCAAGCAAGCAAGCAATCAGCTAACCGAGCAACCAAGCAACCAAGCAACCGAGCACCCAAGCAACCAAGCAACCAAGCAAGCAACCAACCAACCAACGAAGCAAGCAATCAAGCAATCAGCCATCCGAGGAACCAAGCAACCAAGCAATCGACCCAAATAGTCTGGGATTTCATCCGAAGCCAATGCCGATTTGATCATGCGCCTTGCGAGGCGTGCCCCAACGAGGGCTTCACCACGCAGCTGAAGGCACTGGACGAAGAGCTGAGGCGCGGGGCAGCTGGCGCAAGTTTTCCTTTTGGTTTCCCTTCGCAAAAAGACTAAGGTACCCAGATGCGAAGGGAACCGCACATGTCCATTTTGGCTTGATTTTGTTTCCCTTTTGGTTCCCCTCTTTTTTTGACACCCAAACGAACTTTGCCAATTTTTGGAACCTGAATGATGATAGAATCGTGGGCAAGAATAAATAAAGTACTTGTTTGCCCAGTTTGGCAAACGGTCGACCTTGTACGGGGGTAAGACCAAGCCGGAACTACAGCGTACAATGTCGTCCGACGTAGAATGTTGGGAATAGGGGTGGGAACATGACTTGTCACCCGTGTCAAGGGGCGGCAGTGCTCGTCTCTTTATCTGGGCAGTCCCCAGATGCGAGAGAGATTCTTTGAGAGGCTTGGGGCTTGGGCTTGGATGCAAAAAATGACTTGAGTTCCTTTCCCCCAAGCAGCCATACAGCGTTTTCGTTTGTTCAGAGCCACTATGCGACTATGAGTTGAACCCTTCGAAAGCTGGGGTGACATAACTCCCCGTGAATGTCTACGACACTGCGGATGGTTGCGAAATCCATTCGCTTCCTGACTTGAAGCAATGTGTGAAACCATGGTTTGCTGCTATGTACACCCGAATCGAAGCATTCCAGGGATTCCGAACGTTGGTGCGAAATGGATTTCGTCATACTCAGCGCGCTGTTTCACGGCCTCGCTAGGAGCAACCCCAAGCTCTATGAGCCGGTGCCGCCCAAGCGCGGGAAGGCCTACCGCCAGAACCCCAGAACGAGGGGATT